GGGGGGGGGGGGGGGGGGGGGGGGGGGGGGGGGAACACCTCTGTAAGCAAATGATATAATAGTTTACTTCTAAATGTGATATGAACAACAAAGAATGATCTCATGCTGAAAATGTGAATTTTACAATTCAATCACTGTTTTCCACAAGAATTCCTATATTTTTAGTTGCAAGGTCTAGAGGTTAACAGAGTTTCGTACAATATAAAAGCAGCTAGCAGAGAAGCTTTCTGTTATGTAAGATTTATTGTTGAGTTACTGTCCTGAACTTCCAACTTCCACAGTTTGTGTCTAATAGATCACATTCCAAACTTTCAATTTTGTGTTAATAAGTCGCATTTTCTAATACGCTCCTAAGCTTTCACTTTCTATCAAATCTTTGAACTTTTAGTGTCTCAAATAGCATGAGCAGTTAGATACAATTGAAATTCCTTATACACTTCTAAATTTAGGGAACATTTAGACATTTTTAGAGTTTAAGCACAAATTAGACACAATTTTCAATCCCGAAACTTTTAATCTAACCAAGATTTTCAAAAACAATAGAAAGAATCAAGAAAATCATTAATCCTTGAGTAGATTCTTCTAAAGTAGAAATTCCAAACAAGAACTCTACAATAAGCCGATGGAAGAAGAGAACAGAGGACCGACTGTACCCAGAAGCGATTTAACTTTGTTGCTCTGCAGATGCCCAATAAAATGCCATTCAATGTCTTGAGGAAGCTGAAAGCAAAGAGAGGCATAGACAGACGTAAATGGCGCATTCAAAGACATAAATCAAATCGAAGCCCTAGAAAAATAAAAGGCACCTGAGGAGCTTTATCGATAATCTCTTGAACGTAGTTCTCACCGAAGCAGCGGTGTGTGGCGTCGTAGACTTGGCGAATGAGAGACACAGGCTTTGTCTTCGAGACTGCGACGACTCGGACCTGATCGAAACGGCGACCAGAGCGCTCAGCCGCCTGCCGAGCTCGATTCATTACCGATCGGAGAGCTGCGGCGGCTGCGCCTTCGACCAGTGGAGCTGCCATATGAGAGATTTTTTTCTCGGACCTGTTGCTGTTCAGGCAGCGGAGGAAGTGGAAAGGAAATGAAATATGCGATTAAAGTGAAAGGAAGCCGTTGGCTGTTAATGTTCTCCAATCTCCATGTTTCCATTCCCTTGTGGTTCACAGAAATCTCCCCGGAAAATGTTTACAAGGGAGTGTTTTTGTCCAATAATTAATATTTTATTATTTAATAATTATATAATTTACAATTTACCTCACCCGTTATCTGAAAAATTACCCTGAGACCGTTATGCACTTTTTGAATAGGAATCTATTTTCTAAACGATTTTGGCTTTTTGTGCTTTGATGGGTCTCCGAGATCCTTTCGATGACCTATGTTGTGCTGAAGGGATATCTATATGATTCGATTGATTGTGTAGAGCTCGCGGTAATAAGCACATTCCTCGCCTATAATCAAACTACTGGCACAAGAAGAGAAAGGAGGGCGCTTCAATCCCCACATCATGATTAGAGGTGACAGTCTATTCCGAGTGTCTTAGTTAATCATTTTGTAATATTTACAAATGATTCATGTGAATGAGATATCATATACCATCAGTTTGTACAAGGCTTTATGGGTACTCAGATGCTTTATGGGCCCCCTTGCACATGAAATAGGCCGAGGGTGTCGATTGTATTTGTTCTGGTAGGATCCTCTCCATGAGTTATCTTGAGTTATCCTTCTTAGCTCTCTAGTATGGTATGCACTAAGGATGCACTAACCTATATTTTAAGTTTCAGAAGTTTGTCTTACATGCATCTTCTCATACAAATGGAACACCCTTCTTCGTCAACTGTGTGAGCGATGAGGCTATCCTAACAAAGTCTTGCACAAATCGTCAGTAGTATCCCGCTAATCCAAGAAAACTTCACACCTCCGTAACTGTGGTCAGATGATCCAACTTAGTGACCGCTTCAATATTGGTGGGGTCTACCAAGATTCCATCTTTCAACACCACGTGTTCTAAAAACGAGACTTTTCGTAGCCAAAATTCACACTTGGAGAATTTGGCGTACAATTTGTTCTCTCTCAAAATGGTTAGGGCTTTTCGAAGGTGCTCTTGGTATTCCTGATAGTCTTTGAGTACACTAGGATGTCGTCTATGAACACGATAACAAACATGTCGAGACACTCCTTTAATACTCTATTTATTAACTCCATGAATACCACTGGGGTGTTAGTGAGACCAAACGACATCACCGCAAACTCGATGACCGTACCTTATTCTGAATGCTGTCTTCGACACATCCCCTTCTTTAATCTTAATCTGGAAGTGCCCTGATCAAAGATTTATCTTGAAAATACCGTCACTTCTCTAAGTTGGTCGAACAAATCTTTAATACGAGGAAGTGAGTCCTTATTATTTACCATCTTTATTCTTGACAAACAGCATCGGCGCACCCCAAGGAGATACACAAGGGCAGATGAAACTCTAGCAAGTCTTTTAATTGCGCCTTGAGTTTAACTTTGCCAGTGCCATACGGACGACTGTGAGAATACTACCTCCTTCTTGTAACAATCTATACTGGCACGTTCCTCTAAAGGTGTGCTGGTCATACCGTTTAAAATCCCGTAAATACCTTGCCTCTCGTGTAGATTGTAAGTTATTGGCTTGCTGGGTGGCCACCATTGTATGCATCATGGCTTGGAATGATTCCCACATCTAGGTCGTCGTGGGGTCTATTCTAGCCGTTGGTGTTAATGGGAGTTGCATTTGTTCAAGTTACGGAGTCCTCACGAGTTGGACTCTCTCTACCATTACCCCTTCCTCTAACAGGGGGTCGTCTCCTTCCTTGACGTCAACTAGGCAACATGGTTCTAGAACCAACATATAATTTTTCCTAAGTCTAGTATTCGCTAACATAAATCACTTCGTATTATATATCATAATAATACAATTAGGTGAGCATGATGTCTTCATAAACATACAATCAAGTCAACCAACATGCTTCAACGATAATATAATCAATGCTATCAAATTCAATCATAAGTTATATTTGATAATGAGCAAGCAATAACCGTATACGCAATCAATGACATTTCTTTTCTTATCTTATGCATGACATCCTAAATGGTCACGGAGCATCAACGGTGGGCTATGGAACATGTCAAGTCTACCTCATAAGCTAGTGGCTAATCGACTTTTTGATCGGGTGGCGGATTATTCCTTTTCTCTACAAAATATATAACCTAGAGCTCCGACACCAACTATAACGACCCTAGATTTCTACTAACCTAAAGTCGCTACCGTGTACATCACGTGACTTCTTATGCGGAAATGATCATTCAAAACGTCTTCATAAAACAATATGTTGGACTTAAATATTTAATAAAAGGTCTTTAAACAATACAAAAGAAATGTTAAAATAGACATAAATAAAAAATGAAAACAGTAAAGCCCTATGCTAATCTAACTTCTACGAAATTAAATACAACTACTCTATGCATATGTCATGGTCTTTCACTGTGATGTCGTCGTCAGCCTTACAGTGGTTCATTGCCTTTGCCTGAAAGATAGAAGTAGCACATGACTTGAGTATTTTAAGAAATACTGAGTGAGTGACCTACTATTGGGGCTGGGAATGCAAGCACATGCAAAACATGATTAGAAACCTATCATTTAAAACCCTCGTAGAGGTGGCCTCTAGTTTGAACAAATTGGATGTGTAATATTTTCCTACACATGACCCACACATGCGAGCATGAGTCCACCAGGCGATTTGCACCCTCTAGGCCCATCATAGTTAGGCAAGTTGGCTGTAGCCGGACGTCTAGAGGTACAGCAAATTCTTGAATATCATGCAAGACACGATGATCATCATCATCATTATAGTGTACGCATTCGTACTCATCATCATAAAGGAGAAGTAACCCGATGTAAATGAACATACAATATGCATGAGGCCCCTATACTCTTCATCTTAAATTATTCATGTGAAAAAACCCCCACACATCCTTCACATATTACAATATGCATGTATAAACTTCCATACATTCATCATTTATAACATTATAGGGGTTGTGTATCAAAAACTCTCTTCATCATAATGCAACATGGCATCTATACATGTACGTCATCATAATATGAAATATTATCATATTATGTCACATCATGACTATACATCTTATGTAATCATGTCATCAGGCATCATCGTTCCAGTGTATCATCATATCATCATAACATCATCATAATACACCATTATATTTATCAATTCACTTCATCATAATACATCATCATATCATATCAATTCATATTATTATTATATTATATAAACATATATGACACGTGTTAGGGCCACTAGGCATGTGTCGTTATACATAAGGTAAGTCTTTCGATCGAGCCTATAGTAAGGCCATTTCCTTGGATGACCTTAGCCTAAACTCGAATTCGCTTGATTTTGTCTCTCGAAGTTGTTCCAAGTATTGTCGATGTGTTTCGCTCTATTAGAATATTCTGTTAAGAATGAGAAATAGAAATAGAATTGGGATCGAAAGTACGATCTTCATTCCTGTTTACCATGTTCAAATAGGATACAAACTATCGACTAATACCTAAAAATAGGAAAAATATATAACTAACTAAATCTTGTAAATAAATAAAGTATACTGTTAATCAAATATAAGATAAAATATACTACTAACAACTCCCAAAATATCTCAAATATAGTCTTAACTAATTATTAAAATATATCTCCAAATATCATATCTCAGTACATTCACCTAATTTCTTTAACAATTATAATTTCCTAACTTAATACAACTTGATTTAGGAAATTGGACATTATATTGACCTTAACTGCCTTAAATAAGGTTAAGTTCAACGTTGGGAGGGTCCAAAACATAGGGAACAATGTCCAAAATGCCAAAACAAGCTATAGATGATAGGATGTCTAGGCTTCATAAATGCATTGCTCTTTTATCTATTGAGGTTGTACATGGCAATAGTTGAAGCCGGAAAGAAGATGATATGCATGATAGACTATCTAGAAGAATGGAGCAAGAAGTAGCACGAGAAGATTCATTATATAGATAGTTAGGGTGTCATAGAGTTGGTGAGAAACTCGACCTATCATCACAAAACAACATAAGTTAGTGAAGATGGTCACTGTATCAGTTTCCAAATAAAAATAGTTGTAATATGGAACTTGCTCTCTATTCATAGCTTATTCAATTGTTATAGAAAATAAAATTATATATGGAAAATGGTTATATTTAGTATACAACAGTTTACAGTAAAACACTAAAGTCATCCATAGAAGCCGTTAGCCAATATTTTTCTTTCCATTTTTTATCACTTGTTCTTTGTACTCATATGGTTCGAGTGTGTGCGCGAGTGTGTACGTTTTTGCATGATCTAACAAATTCATATTTGCTCCCTTTATCGTTCTTTCTTTTTGAAAAAATTGTTATATTGGATTGATAAAATAAAAATCGGACTTAAAACCAAACAAAAGAAACAACCTACGCTTACAATTCTACATTAACTTTATTTCTTAAAGCTATTAGAACTATTACATCGAAATAAACTAAAAAAACTCAATTAGGAGCACGACCGATGGGAATGATGCTAAGATTATGAGCTCTGGTACAAGTTAAACCAAATTGTTCCGTCATATCCAATTCACTTGGTGATATACCATCTGGAAGCTCCCAATCAAAGCAATGCACCAATTGAGCAACAACCAATTGAACCAAAACCAATCCTAATTGCATTCCGGGACAACTTCTGCGCCCATACCCAAATGGATGCAATTGAAAATCTTTCCCTCTCATATCCATTTTTCTATCCGCAAATCTTTCGGGGAAAAAAGTTTGAGGATCAAACCAAACACATGCATCTCGTCCAATTGCCCATTTGTTTATTAGTACCTCGGAATTCTTAGGAATATGATACCCATTGACAATACAATCTTCAATACACATGCGTGGAATTAATGGTATGGGAGGATGCATTCTAAAGGTCTCCTTTATGACCATCTCTAAGTATTTCAGCTCTCTCAAATCTGATTCTTCCACCATTTTGCCTAAACCAACCACGTTTTCTAATTCCTTTTGTACCTTCTTCATTGCATGGGGATGCTTGATTAGCTCGGATAATGCCCAATCGATTGCAGTTCTTGAGCTATCCACTCCTCCAATAATCAAGTCCTACAAAACCAGAAAAAAAAAAAAAGAAAGAAAAAATTTGCTAAGATGACTAAATGATAGTAAACGTTCTTTGTTTATAATCATTTACAGAATCAAATAAATTACGAAGGATGTGAAAATAGTAATAAATGGATATAAGATATTTGTCTTATGATAATTATGATACATGGTAATGAATACAAATATCAATATTTGTGTATAATAACAAGTCAAATATAGTACCTATATTAAATCTGAATGGAAGACTAATCTAAATATCTAGATATTTGTCTATAATAAAAAGTCAAACATAGTACCTATATTAAACTAAATATGATAACTATTTGACTGTAGAGCAAGAACAAATATGATAACTATGGTAAGCCCGATATATTTGACTATAATAAAGAGTTAAATATGGTAATTATAGTAAGCCATAATGGGAGACTAAATATCCTCAATCAAACAATATATTTGACTATAATAAAAGAGCATACTACTATAATAAAAGGGCAAATATGATAATTATGGTAAGCCGTAATGGAAAGCAAATATCGAGATATTTGCTTATAATAAATGATCAAATATGATACCTATGTTAAACCGTAATGGAAGGGCTAAATCTCCTCAATCACACAAGATATTTGACTATAATAAAAGGGCAAATATGATAATTATGGTAAGCCGAAAAGCAAATATCTAGATATTTGCTTATACTAAATGGTCAAATATAGTACCTACGTTAAACGTAATGGAAGGGAAGGCTAGATATCCTCAATCATACAAAATATTTGTCGGTAATAAAGAGTCAAATATGATACATACAGTAAACCATAATTCAAAACTAAATATACTTTACAAAATCATGAACAAATGAAGTTTACAGACCATAATTACGCCTTTGATACTCGAGTGATCAATCTTGGAATCCAACAAAACATCTAGAAAACAACTCTTTGTTCGATTTTCGTCATTGGACTCGAGATGTTGTTTAATAATGATGTCAAGGAATCCATCAAAGACTTTAGTAACACCTTTTGCACGACGTCCTAACCCGTGGAGATCAAGCATTGAGATAAAAGGAATAAAATCCCCCAAGTTAGGAGCTCCAACCAAGAGAGTGGCCTCATGTATGGAAGCCTTAAACTCTTCCTCTACAAATTTTCTCCCAAACACCATTCTACAAATCACATCAGCAATAAGAGACGAGATTTTAGAGCTAAGATCCACAACACCATGCATTTTTGCAGCCTCTTGAAGATGATCAATCAACAAACCAACCTCTTCTCTTCTCATTGACGTAAAAGAGTTCATTTTGAGAGTTGTAAACAATTGAAGTATGCATATTTTGCGCATATTGCGCCAATAAGGGCCATATTGAGCAAAGGCTATGTTTTTTTGGTGGTAACTCAGTTGGTTGAAGGTTAAACGAATTGGGCGGCCTGCAAAAACTGGGTCATGGGCTTTGAGGAAGAGCTCAGCAGCATGAGAGGAAGACACAATAATAGTGGATTTGAGTCCCAATTTCATGTGCATTATGGGACCGTAGAGTTGAGATAAGTGATGAAGATCTCTATGAACAAGCTTTTTCAATAGATGGATGGTACCAATAATGGGGAATCCTTTTGGACCCGGAGGCAACTTTTTGATATTCATTTTGGACAGCCATGAGTGTAGGAGGAAAGCAAGAAGGATGAATATAACGATAAAGGCTGAAATCGAAGGCATGATGCTATGTTTGTGGTAGGAGTAATGGAAATCAACAACTTATTTATAGCGCATTTACATGAGTAACGTGACCGACTTTCTTTCTGTAAATTATCACGAAGATGAAGATGAATGGTCATAATTCTCATTTATTTTAGGTATTAAATTTCATTTAGTTTATAACAATTTTGGTTAATATTCTTATTTATTTAGTTCATGTACAAGAATTAGTATTGTTATGCCTATATAAAGGTTTGTGTAGCGTTGTTTTGAGGTGTGGAGTCATATGGAGTCATGGGAAGTCATTGTCATTTTATATTTGCCTAGTGGCATTTGGGTTAGGTGTGGAGTCATGTGAAGTCATTGTTATTTTGTATTTGACTAGAGGCAATTTGGAGGAAATTTGTAAGAAAGACTTTGCAGTGTGAGAGTGAGATATTCACTTGTAAACACCTTGATTATTAAGATTGGCTACCACATGTGGATGTAAGGGAATTTGTTCTCTTCGAACCTCGTAAATCTTTGTTTAAGTTCTGTTTGTGGGTGTGTTTAGTGCGATTAATCTTACTTCCGCTTTCGCTACAACAATTAGGTATTAGGAACAATTTGGTTGTGGCATTCCACTACAACAATTGGGTATCAAAGCATTTTGGTTGTGGCATTCCACTACAACAAGTGGTGTCAAAGCATTGAAGGTTGTAGCTTTACGGCACAACAGACTTAAATCGAAGCCATAATGCTATGTTTGAACAGTCAATGTGGTTAAGAAAGATTCCGTGGCAGACTTTCTTTCTTCTTATTGGTGTTTGGGACAAAGATTTTTAATTAACGATCTCATAAACTATTTGTGTCAATGGATTAGTTTGATCTAAAACTTGAGATAATGTGTGTAATCCAAAAAAAAAAAGATCCAAAACGTAGTTATTAATAAAGTTGAAGTTACCAAATTGTGAGGAATCGGTACCAATTTATGTCTGATTGCTCCACATATAGTTCCTCTAACCATATTTTCTAAGCGAACTAGAGCCACTTTGTACTGATCTTGTAAGATCCACGACAGAACAAATTCGTTTATTTTTCAAATGATTCATATAAGTGTAACAAACTTCACGTCACCAACTTCAATAACATTCACTATTTAAGTATGTTCAGTGACGGTCAACAATTTTTGTATTCAATATTGAAGTCGGAATCCCATCTTCCTATGAGTATCTATGAGTATCGATGTTTATAAATATTTATAAACATGAGACTTTAATATTTTTGTTATCAAAATTTTCATGAAATTCGGGATTTCAACATTTTGTCAACGAAAATATTTTAAATGGTGATGTTAAATAACTTTGAATTTCGCACATTCAAAAATTATTAAATGGGTTGATTTTGTAAGTGTCTATGAAGCTATAACTAGAGGAGATTTTAGCCTAGCTTAGCTAGGCAGACAAAAAAAATTTATTACCGTTTTAAATTGAAAGATAAAAATAAAAACTTACTAATCTAGCTGTCCTTACTAGCCTCTATAATACTTAGGTAAAAACTTTTCTCATAGGTAAAAAGCTCATAACACTAATTACACATGGTGAAATAAAAAATATGAAAAACATTTTGTTTTAGAATAATTGACCTTTTTCCTTTCTATATCCTTTGTAGTGTGATATGTAAGTGGGTTACATATATACACCTTTTCTCATAGTATCTGTAACGTTCCTAATTTTTCTTGTCTATATTCATGGCCTTACTACATGTAACAACCTTAAATTTCTGCTAGCTTAAAGTCGCTACCGTATACATCACATGACTTCTTATGTAAAAATAATCATTCAAAATGTCTTCGGAAGTCAATATTATGGACTTACATGTTTAATAAAAGGTCTTTAAAAGAATACAAAAGAAATGCTAAAATAGAGTCGGTTACCTTTACTTGAAATATAGAAGTAGTAAATGACTTCAATTCACGTAATTATTGTATTATATAAGCATACATGACACGTGCAAGGACCACTTGGCACGTGTCGTCATACATAACATAAGTTTTCGATTGAGCCTATAACAAGACTACTTACATGGATGACCTAAGTCGACATTCTCAATAAATTTGAATTCACTTGATTTCGTCCCTCAAGTTTGTTCCAAGTATCATTGAGGTGTTTCGCCCTATTAGAACATTCACCTAATTTCTTTAGAAATTCTAATTACTAACTTAATACAACTTGATTTGGGAAATTAGACATTATATTGACTTTAATTACCTTAAATAAGGTTAAATTCAGCTCTGAGAGGGTAAAAAACATAGGGAACAATGTCTAAAAGGCCCAAGTGAGCTGAATAACTTGATTTTTAGCCATCGAGCCGCAATTGGAGCCAAGCCCCATTGATGGAGCTGGCCAAGCCGAGGAGTCGCCATGCATCACTCGCGTGTAGGGCTGGAGCACGAAGGTCGTAGGAGTTGGGTCGGGTCGAGTTCTCGAGTTTGTGTGAGTTGTTTACTGTCTGTGCGGAGGAGTTGAGGATATCAGGCCTAGCGTCAGGTGTCTCGTGACCATGCAATTGGGCTAAGTGGCCGCTAGACTTGAATTATGAGTTTTGGTTTGTATTTGCTGGGTCAAATGGAAGGTTAGACTATAGGTGCATATTCGACCTGTGTCTCACGTTCTCTTTTATTGCAGGTGAGTTATAAGGAGTGGCTGTTGCATTTTGTTTATTGTAGGGATTGCGGGTTAGTTGAAAACGCGAGATCTCCAATGCCTCGCAAGAAATCTCGCGTTTTTCAGCGACGGCGTAATTTTTTTTTCCTGCCTGCCTTAAATAATATAGGTAGAAGTTCATAATAAACACTTTAAAATGAAGCCATGGACTTGCCCATCTAATTCAAAACAAGAAATTTGAAACATCTGTCTTTTAATATGAAATATGAACAAACCACCTATCAACTACTAAATGAAAATCAATGCATACTATTGCCCTGTCTTGACTTCCATGGCTTTCCAGTATTCACCATCAACCATGCAAGAGGTTTAACTTTTACCTGAAAAATATAGAGGTAGCACATGACATGAGTGTTTTAAGAAATACTCAATAAGTCACTCCAATGTTGGAGTTAGTAATGTAATCACACACATAACATGATTGGGACTGTTCCTTTAAGTTCCAGGCAAGGTTGAATGTGTGTACTTCTCCTCATACAACCCATGTACGCGCACATGGACCCACCAAGCAGGCTCGTATACGTACCTCCTGGACCTGACTTGGTCAGGCTGCATTAACGCAACACCGAATGCTGCAGAAAAAGGAAATGTTCACATGATATCATGGTGAACATAAATATTGATGGTACGCGTTCGTACTAGCATAGCATAACGGAGAAATATCCCTATGCACATGACATACATACATGCATGAGGTCCACATGATATCATGGCGAACATAAATATTGATGGTACGCATTTGTACTAGCATAACATAATGGAGAAGTATCCCTATGCACATGGCATACATACATGCATGAGGTCCACATGATATCATGACGAACATAAATATTGATGGTACGCGTTCGTACTAGCATAACATAACGGAGAAGTATCCCTATGCACATGACATACATACATGCATGAGGTCCACATGATATCATGACGAACATACATATTGATGGTACACGTTCGTACTAGCATAACATAACGGAGAAGTATCCCTATGCACATGACATACATACATGCATGAGGTCCACATGATATCATGACGAACATAAATATTGATGGTACGCGTTCGTACTAGCATAGCATAACGGAGAAATATCCCTATGCACATGACATACATACATGCATGAGGTCCACATGATATCATGGCGAACATAAATATTGATGGTACGCATTTGTACTAGCATAACATAATGGAGAAGTATCCCTATGCACATGGCATACATACATGCATGAGGTCCACATGATATCATGACGAACATAAATATTGATGGTACGCGTTCGTACTAGCATAACATAACGGAGAAGTATCCCTATGCACATGGCATACATACATGCATGAGGTCCACATGATATCATGACGAACATAAATATTGATGGTACGCGTTCGTACTAGCATAACATAACGGAGAAGTATCCCTATGCACATGACATACATACATGCATGAGGTCCACATGATATCATGACGAACATACATATTGATGGTACACGTTCGTACTAGCATAACATAACGGAGAAGTATCCCTATGCACATGACATACATACATGCATGAGGTCCCCATGATTTTCATTCATAGCATAACATTAACATCATTCTCTTTTTCCTTTCATCCATGACATAGTACATATATGCATCACATATACATGACAGTCATCCCATGATCCATCACATAGCTTTACACGTCAATACATAAAATGACGTACATAGTAATTAATTTCATTCATGGCGTAATAGATATCACATGCATACATATCATAGCATCATATGTTATTACATAGAGCACATACACAACATAAATAATATGATGCAAGTAGGGGTTGTGAGACATACACCATCATACATCATTCAGTTATCTAACTCTAACAGTAAAATTAATTACCTGGTTAACTTAAGGTGATGTCACGAATTTATCTTTAAATGTTGATGTTAAATATTTTTGTCAACGTTAATGTTTTAAATGTTGATGTTAAATAACTTACTTTGAATTTCTACTATTGGTTCGAGAATTAAAAAATAAAAAAAATTGAACATTCCATTTAAAAAAAAATCTAAATAATTTATCGAAGACTTGCTATTCAACATTAAGTACTCTTCAATCGCCCATAGACAATAATAATAATAATAATAATAAAATAAATAAAAAATAAAAAACTCCCATTGGTCGTGCAAAAAGATATGAAATTTCTGCCGCTTTAATTTAAAAAAAAAAAAAAAACTTACTAGTCTAGTTGTCCTTCCTAGCCTAGGTTAGGTTAGGTAAAACAGTTATTTAGTACTTTAAGCTCACTATAAATCACATATCCTTAGTATATCCTTAGCTCTCTAG